CGAAGCGGAGACAGGCGGCAGATTTTGCAGGCGCAAAATAAAATTTTATCAAAAAAGATCTGAATCGACCATTTTGTTCAGAATTTGGCGATGATTCCAAATATGTGACTTTAAACCGGAAATTTTTTGAAACGAAAAACCGACTTATCGATACTACTCCTTTAGAAATTTGGATATTTATATATTTAGAAATTGCGCGGGATAGAAATTTAGACATTTAGAGGCTCGTTAATTTAGGCACCTAGAAGTTCAGAAGTTTAGAAATTTACACATGTAGGAATCTAGGAATTTAGAACTTTTGGCATCTGGAACTTAAGGAGGATAAAAATTTAGACATGTAGGAGTCCAGGAATTTAGAAAGTTAGACATTTGGAAATTAAGGAATTTAGAAGCTCATAAATTTGAAGATTTAGACATCTAGGAATTTTAATTTAAATTTTGGCATTTAGAACTTCTGGCGTCTAGAAGTTCAGCACGATAGAAATTTAGACATGGAGGAATCTACGATTTTACAAATTCAAACCTTTAGAAGCTCCTAAATTTAGAAATTTAGGCATCTACAAGTTCAACAGGTCAACAAAATTTTAGAAATTTACAATGTTAGACATTTAAAAATTTGGAACCTCTTAAGTTTTGAAATTTAGGCGTGTAGGAATCTAGGAATCTAGGAATTTATACATTTGGAAGTTTAGAAATTTAGGCATCTAGGAATTTAAATGTATGTTCGGGCATTTAGGAAATTACAACTTTGGGTGTGTAGAAGTCCAACAGGATAGAAATTTGGACATTCAGAAGTTCAGGAATCTAGAACTTTAGCCATCTAGACGTTCAGAAATTTAGACATTTAGAAATCTGGCACTTCAAAGGTTTAGAAATTGAGACATTTGAAAATTTAGGCATCTAGAAGGTCAGAAATTTATAGATTCAGACATTTAGAAATTTAGAGGCTCGTTAATTTACAATTTTAGACATTTACAAGCGCTTCATTTTAGGCATCTAGAAGTTCAGAAGTTTAGAGATTTAGTTATAATTGAAACAATAAGAAGAAAGAGTAAAGTTCGTTATTTATTCATATATGAAGAAATGAACGATGATTGAACGTATCTAGACACATGAGAGAATGTGAAAGTAGAAATTTTGCTATGAGTTGAAGGTGTGTATGCCATCCTCTCTTATGAAATTGTCATGGTTTTCTTTTAGTCTTGTTAGAAAAAGCCTATGCCATACTATTGAGAAAGACTATTTCTCCTAACAAAGATGCTATCAGAAAACTTCGCATTCTTATTATGTAATTTTCAACACTAGGGGTGGCACATTACTATTACTGTTACCAGTAATACAAATATTGTACATATTACTGTTACAGTAATACTGAACAGTATTCCTATTACCAGTAACAGTAATACTGGCAGTATTAGTGTTACCAGTAACAGTAATATTCATAAAATTAGTATTACTTTTCCGTAAAGTAATACAAGAAAACATAAGTTCAGTAGGGGCGCCACTATCAACACGAAATCATCATATTATTTCGTATTGATTGTGGCACCCCCTATTAATTTTTTTTTCTTGTATCACTTTACTGAAAAGTAATACTAATTTTATGAATATTACTGTTACTGGTAACATTAATACTGCTAGTATTACTGTTACTGGTAATAGGAATACTGGTAGTAATACTGCCGCCCCTATTCAACACAACTCATTACACCGTACAAGACATAATTCAGTAGCTAAGCAAGAAACAAATGTAGATGAACGACGTTCATTCAGTTAGAACAATCGGTCAAAAGTTCACTATAGAAGTGGATTATTATTATAATTGTGAAACAGTCAACAAATATTCTGATACTTGAAAGATCAATCTTTCAATTCCCATATTTCTATATATGTATAGTTATCGATTAATTTTAGATGACTACTTTCGATGATTTAGCCGATCTTTGTCTGAATAAGCTGTGTCATTATTTAAAGTCTGGTGAAGTTCTTCATTCACTCTTTCAAGTTACTCAGTTTAGATATCATTAATGCTATTTGGTCTTGCATACGATAAAACAGTAACTATGGAGAATATCGCTATCCAGGCCGTAACTCCGTTAGTCTTTTTCATTAAATTTCAATTACTTATTTGCTTGTGTATTTTTTTCAAAATGACTGTCCATTTTGTTTGTTCGCACATGTAGCTTTAGAGAAAAGGAGGAGAAAAATATTTTCTTTCTCTGTTCTGATGTTGAAATGAAAATAATTTTAGCAATGCGAACATGTATATATTTTAAATGAAATCACTCAGTTTATTCATTTTGGTAAAACATACAAGTATGTACAACAAAGATGCGCTTTTTTGCTGTATTTCTCTTGCTATTTTCTTTTTATTGTATCAGAAGACATCTGAAGAAACCCTTTGGTAACGGTCGAAACCGGTAATGTTATGCCGCATCTTCTATCTTGAACTCGGATCTTTCTGGCTATTTTTTCCTCTCTAAATGACTATTTGCTAGCGAAAATATATTCTATTTTAAAAAGCATTTTTTTATTTCCTTCATCAAAGGAATTTTTATTTGTTTTTCTTCGTATAGAATCGGGTTTCTACGTATAGAATCGGTCCAACGTTCAATATTGTTAGCGGCTCTCTCTCTCGATTTCGCCACTAACGCTAGACACTTGTTATCACTGTCTGTGAGTGGTTGGTCTTCTTTCCATTTTTAGTCACTCTCTCTCGTTATTACTAGATTCTCGTTTATGTATATATGATTGTGTTGTTACTCATGCTATTCATTCAAATATATCGTTAAACAGAGCGGAGTGTTTAGTCATGCTTGCACATACGCATAGGAATCAGGTATAGTCTAATATTTGGTGCCGTGACCGGTTTCCTGCGACCACAACACCGTGGACCACACACGCAAGCGGATTACAGACGACACTCTACATCGAAGGAAAATCGACATTAGTCGATTTAGCTTCGTTTTTATCGAATATTATTCACGTGAAAAACCGTATCGTATGATTCTCTTATTCATTTAATACCCTAGAATATGGCTTACGTGCCCTTGTTCGATGCGATGATAGATGGATAAAGTTTATCAAGAAAAAAAAAATTAATGCACCTAAATTCATCTAAAAGTAAAAAGATGAATTTTATTAGCTTGATCGATGAAGAATATAAAAGATAATAAAATGTGTGTATAACCAAGATGGACGTTATTTTGAATGAAAACAAAAAAAAGATGGAACGTTGGTATTCAAAAAAAAAAGAAGAAGGAGGATCGAATATAATAGACGAAGTTCACGTGTACAGTATAAAATAAACTATTTTTAAAATGCGACGATAACAGAACGAATCCGAATATAATGGTCTCTTTGTGCAACCGAATAAAATTGCATTCACCGGAGATCAATACCCGAGTGAGATCAGCGATCAAAATCGGATAAGTGTAAATGTTTGAATGAAACTGTTTGGAACAACGTGTCTCTTATAATATTAGATATCAAATATCGGTTTCACCTTGATCACTAACTTACGATTTTTATTTTTTGCTCTTGTCTTACTTTGCAACTTGATTTCTGCATTTGTCTTCTCGCATACATTTTATTGTTGCGTTTTATTTCACCTTCTACGTTGCGCTTAACGTAGAAATTAGGAACTCCGGCACTGTAGGTTGTTTCTGTGATACACTCGAGCATACACCAGTAACACCCGCGTGGATTGCCACTGTGAGTGCGTTTACTAATAATATAAAACGGCAACTCGTACGCCTGCCACCCGCTCTAACGTTCGTGATAAATCAGTGTTATTGACCAGTGATTTTATTGATCATTCGCCATCGAGAAAACGACGGAAAGCATCATCGCTTCCACCTTTGAGATCACTGGCGTCCTCGAGTGATTCATCCGAGAATCCGAGTGATAATTCTCCTAAACAATCATCGACTGGCACGATGACAAATCGTTGATAAAACAAATACAAGAGTTGCGTATTAAGCAGCTGGAGACTCTTAGTGGGGATGGTGCACAAAAGATCAACGAATATATTGTCGACATTCAAGAGGTCACAAAATTGACTCAAGAAACCGAAGCAATCCAGTATGCTTTGTTACATTCCAAATTGAGCGGTGAGGCAAAACAATGGTACAACGATAATAAGGACGAATTGAAAGATTGGCGTGCTCTCACTGATGGACTAACAAAACGATTTAAACCGTTTCGATCATCCCAAATGTTATCCGACAAATTACTTAGTCGGAGACAACAGCAAAATGAATCGATTAATCATTATTATGATAACGTTCGTCGATTATGTCAAGAAGTACATCTCGATATGCCGCCTACGATGATTGTACAATATTTAATAAGTGGTGTTCGGGAAGATTTTAGAAAAGAAATATCTCGTACATTACGAACACATGATGTTCATAGTCCGGAATCATTTCTGCATGCTGCGCTTCGGGAAGAAGAATTAGACTCCACCGATAATCATTCACGACCTACAACCCAACCATATTTTGCGTATGGAAATTCGTTTTCGGGGATGTCAACTGCGGTACACTCGAATTCAAATAGATTTCAACGACAACCTCTCTCAACGCAAACAATACCGAATCAATAATCTACCATACATCCACGATCGGAACGACTGTCTAATGGATCGATTCAGCCATATTCACAGCTGCGATCGACTCAGCAATCTTCACCTCAATCACAACGTTTGCAACCGTCAACATCACAACCGCGATCGAATTTCCATTATCACCAGGCAACATCTACTCAAAATTCCCCTCATCGTACGCCATGTTTAATTTGCAATCGTTCTAATCATCGTACAATCGATTGTTTCCATCGAAAACCGACAGGCTGTTCAAATGCGGACGGACAATTCGGTCACAATGTTCGGACGTGTCCGCAGGTTTTCGAATAGCGGGATCAGGAGATGGCGATGATCCCGAAACACATAAAACGCTATCATTATCGACGATCTCTTCCCCGATTTACATCAGTGTTCAAGTCAATAGCCTACCGCAACATGCGATCGTCGATACGAGATCGTCTGTCACAATAATTCACCAAAACTTATTAAAAAAGATTCATCATAAAAAACCTATTTTCAAACAGAAATCATATGATGCGGCAAATTACACTTCATTAGATATACTTGGTGAAATTCAGTTAGAGATCAAAGTTGGCCGCCAAAAAACGTTAATTTCAGCCGACGTTGCGTCCAATCTCGTGGCGGATTTGATACTCGGGCACGACTGGTTGAAGCAAAACAATGCAATCATAGATGTGCAAATCAGCAATCTGATAAATCCAACTGGACAAAATACGGTTACTCACTTTACGCAACCACCGCACCTTCAATTTCCCGTGCTATTAATTGATCAATAACGTTATCGCCACATTCAGAAACATGGACTGACGTCACGGTTTCATGCCTATTCGGACAAAAAACCGGAATGTTATTCGAACCGAAAATTGAGTTACATAACAAAGCTCTATTTGCAGTTAGTGCACTCGTAAGTGTGAACGATCATACAACAAAAATCCATATTGTTAATGCGAATGATCGCCGATACACCTCACCCAAACATTCAAAGCTCGGTACAATTTCGTATCACTCCGGTACATTGATGTGTTTGACCGAATCATCAGCAGCGGAAGGCACTCCCGCATACCGGTGGGTAGTTCCTGTGATTCAGCTTCACATCAGTGCGACATATGTAAATGCAATTTCATATTGGGCACTGATTTACTAATACACCTTCGAAATCTCTGTTATCCTCAAGAACTTCGACAGCAAATCAATAATTTGACGTCACATATTGAGCAACCCAAACAATGTAAACAATTACAAAATTTATTATGGAAATATGGCAAATTGTTCGATACTCGTGAACCATCGGTAGTTAAGACGACGTTACGCCATGTGATCGATACCGGTAACCACAGACCTATTTACGTGCCGCCCTATCGCCGTTCATATCAAGCAGACAGAGACGTGGCACAACAAGCAAGTAAACTTTTTCAACAACGCGTGGTTGAACATACCACATCACCTTGGTCTTCACCAGTAGTACTCGTAAAAAAGAAGGACAGTATAACTCGATTTTGTGTCGATTTTAGCAAACTCAATGCGATTACCGTTCGTGATAAATTTCCATTACCTAAGATCGATGACATATTCGATACACTATCAGATCCCGAATATTTCACCACACTCGATTTCAAAGCAGGGTATTTTCAAATACCATTGGACCCAAAGAACCGACCAAAAACGACTTTTTCAACTCGCGACGATCGATATCAGTTTACAGTTTTACCACAGGATGTGACTAATGGCCCACCAACATTTCAACGCATTATCAATTATATATTGGGACTGACGAAGGGGAAATACAGTTTGGCATATTTAGATGACGTGATAATTTATTCTCGTACATTTGAAGAGCATTTATTACACCTAGAAGAAATTCTCAGTCGACTTACCGAAGCCAATTTCCGCTTAAACAT